ATTCAATGTGATAGCCATTTGCCACATGTGACTATTAAGCACCTAAAATGTGTCTAGTCCTGATTTTGAAGACTCAGTATTTTGAAAAATGTAAACTAACTCATTAATAATTTCTAAATGGATTAGTGTTAAAATGATTATATTTAACACACTGGGTTAATATAAAATATGCTTTTTAAATGTGGTTATTAGATTTAAAATTATATCATTTTACTTCCATTATATTTCTACTGAACAACACTGTTATAGAGCAAAGATACTGGAGTTTACAAAATGATTCTAAACCAATCTTTGCCATTATGTTCTGCTGCTATGACCTTAGACAAAATGGTTACACTGATTATCAGCTTCTGTATCGTAAAAATCAGATTTAAAAATAGTCCCCAAATCTACTACTTAGATTTTGGTATCTATTTTCCACTGAAAAGAACAAGGTAACATTGGAAAAGGAGCTCTTGCCACAGCTTGGACAGGTAAAATACAAGATTAACCCAGAATATCTTGTTTTGGCAGAAATACACTGGAACCAGCTTGATGAGACACCCATTGGCCAAACCTGGGACAGTTTGTGAATCAAAATAATGATAACAATGGATTTAACCACTGAATAAAATTAAGAATCCATGAGTTCACGCAGATAAAAAGAACTGAATAAATAAGAGATGGGAAAGAATACCTTATGTCAGAATGTCAACTAATAATTAAAGAAGGAATGAAGTCAGATAATCATCAACTGATGCTAAAACTTGTGGGTGAAGTTTTGATTATACTATGTAAATATACTGTTCCCCAAATTATTTTTCCACAAATTGCATGTAAGTTACAAAAGGATAAATAATAACTTTCAGGGATACCTAAGAGGAATGCCAGCTTAACAACATTTTCACAGCTAACATCACCAGCACTGGTACAAACATCATGAATCTCAAGATATGATGTACTAAGAAGGGCAGAACATCTCTTGAGTGGTATTCCTGCCAAAACACATAACCAATCTAACCACGAGAAAGCAATAGACAAATTCAAATTGAGGGACTTTCTACAAAACAGCTGCCCTGTACTTTAAAAAAAAAATGTCAAGGTCAAGAAATAATAAGGTTGACGAAGTGTTCCCGATTAAAAGATACTAAGGAGACATAATTACCAAATGTAATGGATAATCCTGGAGTGGATCCCAGAATAAGATGGAAAAGAAACCAGTAGAGAAAATAGATAAACAGATATAATTTGAATATGGACTATAAATTAGATAACATATCAGCATTAAATCTTCTGGTTTTAATAACCTTGTTTTTAAAAAATATACACTGAAGAATTCAGGGGTAAAGAGGTATGATGTCTCTGAATTACTCTCAAATTGTTCCAAAATATATATAGAGAGATAGGTATATAAAGCAAGAATGATAAACACAGCAAAATGTAAAACAACAAGTGTCGGTACATAGGAGTTCTATTCTTCCAACTTTTCTTTAAGATTGAAATTACATCAAAATATAAAATTTTAAAATACTGGCCAGTCTCCCAGATCAGATATCCTAGTGGACTATACAAGTCCTAATGATGTTTAAAAATGTACAGGTGTATTTCTTTTATTCTAGACCTGTTTTAAATTTTATGACTTATCAAATGCTAACTATATTATACATTTCATAAAATCCAGGCCTGTATCTGTTATTTCTCAATATTATAGTACTAGGATACGATTTACCGTATCCAATAAGCACTCAAACATTTGTTAAATGGGCTACTGAAAACTATAAAACAGTTTAGAATAATTATAGAAAAACAGTCAAATTATAAAAGGTACCATATTGTAAATAGAGATATTAATTGCGACAAAAGGTTGTAGGACAATTCTTCAATTAAAAGAAAAATATCGGGAATGAATCAGAACAGTAGTTAAAAATCTAACATAAAGAGACGAATACCACAATTAGAGGATGGTAAACATCTCATTTCATATTAAGAGTTAAACGTTTCCCTTTGTGGCTAACTACAAGGAGTCACGACAATTAAAGTAACTTTCTTCCCTATAAAATTAGAAAATTGTATGAGTTATAAAATGAATCAGATTAAAGAGTTACATCAAGAACTGAGATTCAAAATCTCATTAGGGGCTCAATCCTAATTTGCTCTACAACCCTGAGATGCTGCCTACAATTCGGTATCTCACTTGAAGTTGAGATGTTTGGATCATTTCCTTCCCCAAAGGTAAGAAGGATATTATTTTATAAAAATGACTGTTAAGCAATGAGAGCACCGAATATTCAATAAACATACTGAATATACACATACATGTGTATTCATATATATTCACACATGTATACACATGCAAAGGGAAACGAAAATAGCTTTTTTGTAAAAATATTTACAAAGTAATGAATGTAAGGCACATTAATAGCAAAAGGTAATGATCCGAATTCTAGTTTATCCCCATTCACACCATATAAATAAGTGCTTAACACCTAAGATGCTACAAAAAACCCCAATCAACAAGTGTATACTCCATGTAAAAGGAATGTTAATTTAAAAATAACAATGAGGTTCAAGACCAGCCTGGCCAATATGGCAAAACCCAGTCTCTACTAAAAATACAAAAATTAGCTGGGCGTGGTGGCGGGTGCCGGTAATCCCAGCTACTCAGAAGGCTGAGGCAGGGGAATCGCTTGAACCAGGAGGCGGAGGTTGCCGTGAGCCAAGATCGCGCCAAGGCACTCCAGTCTGGGCGACAGAGTTAGACTCCGTATCGGTAAATAAATAACAATAACAAAATATGAGACAGATTTTAATAGGGCTTTATTAGGATGGGGACCGTGGGAATAATTCTCAAATACAGTTAGAAGCCAGGGACAAAATTTCTTTTCACATACAATACAATGTATTCACATATTGCATTAAAACCGTAATACAGGGATTATATTAGACATACAGTATTAACTTTCAATGCCTTCTAATTTTACTTGAATATACAAGGTAAAAAGATATTCTAGTTCCCTTTTCCATCAAATCCAATGAACTATGTTTCATTTAAAGTTTGTTTTTCAAAAGTATATATATTTTTATGATGCAAAGCTATACTTAAGGCATCTAAATAAGCAAGAAGGTCAGAAAAAAAAAAATATTCCAAAACATAAAAAGACATCCTCAAATCACTTTGTGCCTTGGCAAAACTTAAGAGTAATATCATAAGCTAGTATTGCAATGCTGTCATCCCACCTAATTCTACCTAAATGAACTCAGTAATTTCTAATTGATTTCCAGAGGAGACCTTTACACAAGCAATTATCAAAAACAGTCCACTGTATTCAAGAAGCACAAATAACATTTACTTTTTAAAACAATTTATTTAAATACCTAGTTTTTTTTTTTACACTTCACAAACTAAAATCATTTATGAGTACTTGACTAAAACTATTTCTCATCACCTGTCCTTAGAGAAGACCAAAATACAATTTTCATAAGGGCAAAACAAAAGCAGTAAATTATTTAAACATCACTTAAATGCCTCCAAAGCAACCTTCCTTTCTCGAACATTTTTTCTGCGGTACACGTTTCTGAGTTGAAATTGCATTAGTTTAACCTAATACAATCTCCTTTCCACTAGCGAAAAAAAGATCTTAAGGCGTTAACCAAACACTTGGGAGGCGGGGTCGGGGATGCAAGGTGGTGCCAGGGCAGATGGAAACAAGGTACGAGAGTTGTTTTCTCAAGACACTAGGGTTACTCCCCAACTCTAAATGCCAAGATTCACTCCTCAGTAGAGCAAGCTGCTGCCACTATCCACTGCTTACACAATACAACCTTCCTTTCTACCTCTTCCCCTACACTCCCAACCATAACCTCCTTCCAAAACAAACATCCACAACGCGCCCCATTTCACAACCCGTGTTCGCCCCGCTAAGCCCACTAAACCAACCTGCTGGATAAACAGCTCCATGCTTTCGTCTCACTCAGGAAAGAAAAAAAAAAAAGCGACTGCAGCAAGGTCGGGAGTCCCACCATTCCTGTCACCCTAAACAATCCACAGGGTGAGAGACCCAAGCCCAGAAGTTTGAAGCAAAGCGATTCAGACCCAACCAAAAAGAGGGAATTGCAGTTGAGTGGGGATGGGAGGTGGGGAGGGCGATGCGAATGCGAGTGCGTGAGTGCGTGTGTGCGTGTGTGTGTGTGTGTGCAAGGAAGAGTCCATCACATGACAGTGAAAGAGGACCAGAGTCGTCGGGGCGTCCACAAGCAGAAGGGGGGGAGGGTGTCGTTGCCGTGGCAACACCCCCCATCCGTCCAGACTTCCAAAGAGGGAGGAAGAACTTCAAATCCCAACCGTCAGCGCTCGAGCGGCTCCTTCTTAAAGGGGTACACACAGCGCCGCCGCCGAGCGCGAGAGGGCAGAGTTGGGCGCCCCCCGCCGCTCGGGCGACGCCCCCGCCGCCCCTCGCTCCCCGCGGGCCCATCTGCGGCCCCCGCCCTGCGAGCACCCGGGGGTCTCCAGGTCCGCGTCCCCGGGAACTGGCCGCGTCTGCTCACCCGGCCCCCGGCGGCGAGAAGGGGGTGTGTGTGCGCTCGGCGGGGGCGCGGACCAGCCCGCCTTCCTCCGGCCGCCCTGCCCGCCGGCTCCCCTCCGCCAGGGCGCCGACCCACCGGGCCGCTTCCTCCCTCCTGTCAGGGTGGACGGCAGGCGGCGGTGGGCAGCGACGGGCGCCGAGGAGTTTCGGGGAGAGCGCGAGCGGGCGGCTTCCTCCGAGCTCGGCAAGCGGGTCCGAACTAACAGTTCCCGGGGAGCCCAAGAGCTGGGAAGGCGAAGGAAGGCGGACTGCGCCGGGCCAACAGCCCGCAAGACAAAAGGCGAGCGCCGGGGCCGCCGCGCCGCGCCGCTCCCATCTCGCTCCCCCACCGAACTAACCCGAACGGGAGATTCAACTAAACCCCTCAGCCACAAACTCCTCGGGCTGCGGCAGCTGTCGCCGCGCGGAGCTCGGGGCCCCGGCCCGCGTCTCTCTTACCTACACAGTGCATGAGGCGGTGGCGCCAAGAGTCGAGTTCCCGCCGGAATCCTCTCCTCTCCGCCGCGCACCGAGGGCTCCGGCACTGAGCGGCGGCGGCAGCGGCGGCAGCAGCGGCGGCGGCAGCGGCCATTCTCTCTCTTCCCTTGTCCATCTGCGTCCCGCGTCACGCGCCCTCATTTACATACGAGCAGCGCAGGCACGAGGCAGGGGCGCGAGCCCTCGGCGCGAGCCCCGGAGCGCGCGCCCCCCGGAGGGGGGTTGATTGACACGTGTCACTACCTTCCCTCTGCCCTTCCCTCCCCCTCCCACCACTCCCTCAGGGAGAGGCGGGGAGGGAGCCAGAGGAGAAGGAAGCAACCTGCCGCTTCCGCTGACCCCGCCTCCCCACTCACTACCCTCCTCCCCCTCCCGCTGGAGTTTACTCAAGCGAGCCATACCGCTCCCGCCACCCGCGAAAACCCTGAGCGGGAGCTAGAGACCCGAAGCCCCGCCAGGAACCGGCGTGCTAGTGGAGCGGACTAGCAACGCCTACCTTCTGCCTTCACTCCGGGACTCCGACAGTTCGGAGACTTCACTTCCCAGGCTCCATTGCGCTAGGATCCCGAAGCTGAGCTTGGGGCCGTTGCGCGGTGCCTGCCGGTTATTGTAGTCCAGAAGAAAGGATGGGCTTCCCCCCCTTACACTTAGGTTCGCTAGCTGGCCTGGAACTTCTCTGCGCCGCGCCACTGTGGGGCTGAGCCTGTCGCTCCTTGCGCCCGAGACTGTGAGCCACCAGGGTGGCGGGATCTGACTCAACTGCTTTAGTTTTCTTAGGCTCCTTGATGGAAGGGTCGTGAAAACCACCAAAGTTGTTGGCCCCTTGCGGGTTGAGGCTGCGCTTTGTCTTTTAAGTCCTGGAAACTTTCCCGGGTCGCTGCCATCCTGTCACCCCGCAGGGAAAGGGCAAGCCGGTCATTTGGCTACATATGGAATAACTGCCAAACGTCCGGAGAGAGAGATCCGGGAGTGACTTCGGTTTCCAAGGCGAATAGATCTCTGAAAGCGGGAATATTCTCCAGGACAAGGAAAAAGATGCGATTTTTTCCCCCCCACGGAAAATTACGTGCAGAGGACTGAGTGTAGCCGACTGAAAACTGCAGAAGGAAAATTTTCTATGTAAGCTCCTGGATGGCAGTGACCTACTGAGAACTCTGTACCGTGATATCTGTCACTTATCAGACCCTAGAACAGTGCGTGACACGGGATTAAGCACTTTACAAATCTTATGGAATGAATTCTATGACATGCTAGAGAAAATAACTTCTTCAGAGAGAAAGAGGAATCTTACGATTAAATACGAGACTCCAAACAATTTTTACTTTTTGCACCAGAGAGTGTGCGTTTGTTTCCGTATACTTGAAATTTATGAAACTGAAGCTAAGCCACCCAACGTTTGCTAAGAAGTACTGTGTATTACTGGAAATGTATTCACATGTCTGTGGGAAATATGTTTAATTCTTCTTGGAAACTCATAAATTTCGAGTTCAGTACCACCTGCCCTATTTTGTGGCTTATCCTTATCCACCTTATTTTTCTTCCCATGAGAAAGTATTGCATTGCTCATTATGACTTCAGTAGCGAAGATGTAATTTTTACATCTTCCTAAATTAAAAATAATAAAGTTTGAACTCATAATCATCTTTTCTAGAACGGTCACAACTGACGTGCTGATGAAATCACTAGCGAAGTTGATTTTGGAATTGTCAGCGGATGGTTTCAGTTAACCACTTCCACTCACAATTGCCAAGATAATCAGCCTTTGTAGTTTTCCTGATCACTTTTATAGTAATCTACTTTAGTTAGAATGGGAAAAATTATGGTGTCGTAGTAAAGGGTTCAAGAATCTTAGCGGCTTAAAACAACAACAAAAATCTATTTCCTGCTTATCTGCATGTTCATCTCTGGGTGGCAGGAATGCACGTGTTACCTAAGGTTGCTAGTGCTGGAGCTGCATGATCTAGAATGGCCTCACTCTGGTGTGCAGTTTGGCTCCCAGTTTGCTGGGATAATGAGAATGAGTTATGTGTCTCTTACCATCTAGAGACTAACTAGAGCCAATAATTTACATAGTGGCAGCATGTGAAGCACAAAGTAATGGTAAGTATTAATGTAGAAGTGCTTTTCCTTTGGGAGGCTGAGGCGGGTGGATCACCTGAGGTCAGGAGTTCAAAACCAGCCTGGCCACCGTGGCGAACCCCTGACCCCTCTTCCACTTTCGATCTCTAGTCTCTCTCTCTCTCTCTCTCTCTCTCTCTCACACACACACACACACACACACACAGAGTGATGATACAGGGACTAAATAGACATGGTGTTTTAGTCTATTTTGTGCTGCTGTAATGGAATATCACTGACTGGGTAATTTATATCAAGAACAGACATTTATTGCTCACAGTTCTGGGGACTGGAAAGTCCAAGATCAAGGTGCTGGCATCTAATAAGAACCCTACAGTGAAAAGGCAAAGAGAAGGCAAGTGAGTAAAAGGGGGCCAAACTCATCCTTTTACAATGAACCCATTCCTGCTATAAAGAATCCACTCCCTTGATAACGACATTAATCCATTGACTACGCCCTCATAGCCTATCATTTCTCATTAGGCCACATCTCCCAATATTGTTATGTTTCCAACATGTGCTTTTTTGTGGACAAATTCAAACCACAGCATATTGTAAACATTCCTGTATAGAAAGGAGAGTAAGAGACACACATGAACTGTTTCAGCAGTTAGCATCTCCAACTTTCCAGCGTCTGACAGTCTCCTTGCTGCCACTCACCGAGCTAAGTTAAAGCCACATGTTTTAGATTTTCTGTTATAACTGTACCTCCTTCTGGGTGCCAATGTGTACATTAGTTAGAATGTGCTATGTTCTGCTCCAGTAACAAGTCCCAAATCCAGTAAACTCAAAACTTCAATATAAAGGTTAACACAAAAGGTTATTTCATAGTGTACTATCTGTCTTCCAAAGGTCAGTGTGGAAAAGGATGGAAGGAACATGAGCCCCATAAGCCTCATGTCCATCCAGGGACTGAGGCTTATGGGGCTATGCCATTCAGAAAGTCCCTAGTCACCATGACGAGAAAGATGATGCTAAATCACAGTCCAGTTCTTACAGGCTTCTGCCAGAAGTGACACATTTTGGTAGACAAAGCAAATTTTATGGCCATGACTGACTTCAAAGGAGTTATATATTAGATAGCTTTGAAAGCAGGACAAATCACCCCACAATTTAATACCTTAAAACACCAACTGTTCATTTAGCTCATAAATCTGTGGAGTGAAAATTTGTACTAGGTTCAGCGGGACATTTTTGTGGGCCTTGACTGGACTCACTCAGGTGTTTGTGGTCAGCTGCCTGTCAGCAATGCAGCTCTGTTTCTAAGGATTCACTCACTGCCAGCTGGGAACACAGAGCAATGAGACCAAGTATCAAGAGGCCAGCCCTAGCCCTAGCTTGTTCACATGGTGGCAGTCACAGGGGTCCAAAGTACCGCAAGAAAACAAGGCCCAATACACAAGCACTTTTCAAATCTCGGTTTGAGTCACATTCGCTCTGGTTCCAATGGCTAAAGCAAGTCACATGGCTAAGCCTAGAGTCAATATAGATTCTACCTCTTGGATCTGCAAGTCGCATTGCAAAGGGATTTGGACAAAGAGAAATAAATAATTTGTGGCCACTTTTGTAGTCTACCACTTTAAATGCAAGGTTACCCTATTCTCCAAAAGAAGGAGAACTAGGGATATAACCAGATGTAATGAATATCACGTATCTAGAATTTTTGGGAGAAGCGAAAGATTAAGGCCAGAAATGTTGAAATACAAAAATGGAGTTAGCTTTGGAATTCAGCTTCACTTTCAAGAGCAAAGAAGTTTCCATGGCAGGTACTACAGAATGTATTATGATTACCCAATGAACATAAAAGTAGGAGTCTAACTGATTAACCATTGCATTCTAAGCATCAAGTGCTGTGCCAGGCATTCAGATAGTGTCTAATATTTATTTATTGGTTAGATGCATGTTTGTGTTATGTATAAGGTCAAGCATAAAAAGAGGGTCATATCAGCCGGGTGTGGTGGCTCACACCTGTAATCCCAGCACTCTGGGAGGCTCAACCGGGTGGATCACCTGAGTTCAGGTGTTCGAGACCAGCCTAGCCAACATGGTGAAACCTTGTCTCTACTAAAAATAAAAAATTAGCCAGGTGTGGTGGTGCACGCATGTAATCCCAGCTACTGAGGAGGCTGAGGTGAGAGAATCGCTTGAACCCAAGAGGCTGAGGTTGCAGTGAGTTGAGATCACGCCATTGCATTTCAGCCTGGGCACCAAGAGCAAAACTCCATCTCAAAAAAAAGAAAGAAGGTCTTATCAAAGACTGCCTCCTACACTGAAAATCTAGTTACTCACAAAGGATTTTCACATAACAACAGATATGTGATATGAAATGTTAATCTTCTTTGGGAAAATGTTTTTGTTCTGCTATCTACTTCCTGTATATATTTTATCAGTTATTTATTGCTGTGTAGCAAGCCAATCCATAATATAGTTGCACAAAGAACAACTACTAGATATTATTCTCAAGTCTGCAGGTCAGGTGGGCTCTTCTGCTGATCTGGTGAAGCTCTGCACATCTTACCTGAGGTTGCTAGTGCTGGAGCTGCATGATCTAGAATGGCCTCACTCTGGTGTGCTGTTTGGCTCCCAATTTGCTGGGGTAATAATGACTGAGACATGTGTCTCTTACCATCTAGAGGCTAGCTAGAACCAATAATTTACATAGTGGTAGCATGTGAAGCACAAAGTAATGGTAAGTATTAATGTAGAAGTGCTTTTCCTTTGGGAGGCTGAGGTGGTTGGATCACCTGAGGTCAGGAGTTCGAAACCAGCCTGGCAAACATGGCAAAACCCCGTCTCTACTAAAAAATTAGCCAGGCACGGTGGTTGATGTCTGTAATTCCAGCTACTGGGGAGGCTGAGGCAGGCAAATCGCTTGAATCTGGGAGGCAGAGGTTATAGTGAGCCAAGATGGTGCCATTGCACTCCAGCCTAGGTGACAAAGCAAGACTTGGTCAAAAAAAAAAAAGTTCTTTTCAAGTCAGCTGCATCATGTTCTGCTTGCTACTGTCCTAGTGGCCAAAGCAAATCTCATGGTCAAGCCCAAAGTCTGAATGAAAGGACATTAACAAATGGCATGGATTTAGAATGGTGTGAACGAATTGGAGTCATCACTTCCATCAAACTACTGTGAATAACTATCCAAGTTCACTATTA